GTAACGTTCTTTCCCTCTCATTGTATTTTTCAGGATCTGGTGTCGAAACGGACGATTGGCAGTGGGCGTGAAGTGGACGGTTTATACCTGTTGGATGCTCCTTTGTCACCGCAAGCACATTAAGCTTCATTTTCTAATATTGTTTCATCTAATAAAGCCCAGCTTATGCGTTGGCACATGCGTTTAGGACATATTTCTTTTGGTTATTTGAAACATTTATTTCCTTCCTTATTTTGTAACGTGGCAGTGTCAGATTTATCCTATGAAACATGTCATATAGCTAAACATGTTCGTTCCAATTATCCTGCTAGTAGTAATAAATCTGCTTTAACACCCTTTGATCTTGTTCATTCAGATGTGTGGGGTCCTTGCCCAGTTACTTCTAGTCTTGGATTTCGATATTTCGTGTTGTTCATTGATGATCATAGTCGTGTTACTTGGGTTTATCTTATGAAAACCAAAAATGAGGTATACACCATTTTTAAAAATTTTATGACAATGGTTCAGACTCAATTTGGTCGTACCATTAAAAAATTCCGATTTGACCAGGGTACAGAGTACACTTATGGGGAGGTACAACGGTTATGTACAGAATTTGGGATTGCGCATCAGCTGGCTAATGTTAAAACTCCTCAACAGAATGGTCGTTCTGAGAGAAAGAATCGCCACATCCTTGACTTAGCCAGAGCAATCTGCATTGGCATGAATGTTCCCCAGTCATTTTGGGGAGATGCAGTTCTTACCACTATTTACATCATTAATAGGACTCCTTCTAGGATTCTTAACTTTGCAGCCCCACTCTCAATCTTACATCCCAATTCATCTCTATTTTTGATTCCTCCACGAGTCTTCGGGTGTGTGTGCTTTGTTCAGCAGTTAGGGCAAACTCGTACAAAGCTTGACCCCAAGGCTTTGAAATGTGTGTGTTTTTGGGCTATTCTCACTCTCAAAAAGGTTATAGGTGTTACCATCCTCCCAGTCGTCGGCGGTTTCTATCCATGGATGTTTCTTTCTTTGAGCATACACCATACTATAGTGGTTCAATTGGTTCTCAGAGTGAATGGTTCCCATTGAATATAATGGATGATCACCTTCTTCCGTCTTCAACTCCTCTACCATTACCTGTTTCTTCTTCTATAATTCCTCCTCGTGATACCCCTCCAGCAGGGGGAATTGTTCCTTTTTCACAGGTTTATAATCGGAGACAACAGGTACAAGCTTCTACTCCCACGATCGACTGCCCTGTTCCTTCGGCACCAACTCCACCTTCTCAAGCTATTGTTTCGCTTGATGATCGGCCCATTGCTCTTCGAAAGGATAAACGTTCTTGTACTTACCCTATTTCTAATTTTGTTTCTGATTATGCTCTCTCACCCTCCTATCAGAGTTTTCTTGTTTTTGTTGCCTCGGTTCCTGTTCCTTCCAGTGTTGAAGATGCGCTAGCACAACCTCAATGGCGTGATGTTATGACAGAAGAACTACAAGCACTTGAGAAAAATCAGACTTGGAACATGGTTCCGCTTCCTATTGGACGAAAGGCTGTGGGTTGTCGTTGGGTGTTTACAGTTAAGCATAATCCAGATGGGTCAGTTGCTCGTTACAAGGCCCGATTGGTTGCCAAGGGTTATGCTCAGACTTATGGCATAGATTATCAAGAGACTTTTGCCCCTGTTGCCAAGATGAATACCATCCGTGTATTATTTTCCGTTGCTGCAATTCGATCTTGGCCTCTATTTCAGTTAGATGTCAAGAATGCCTTTCTTAATGGTGATTTGCAGGAGGAGGTGTACATGGTTCCTCCTCCGGACTTTCGTTCTTCTGCTCATTCTGGTATGGTATGTCGTCTTCGTCGTTCTCTATATGGCCTCAAGCAGTCTCCTCAAGCTTGGTCTGATCGCTCTGGCACTGCTATGCTCAAGTTTGGTTTCCATCAAAGTGCAGCTGATCATACCTTGTTTTTACGTCATTCAGGCGGTAAGACAGTTGCTCTCATTGTGTATGTCGATGATATTATTATTACCGGTGATGATACTATCAGAATTAATGAGGTTAAAAGCTATCTTGGCCGTCAGTTTGAGATTAAGGATCTTGGTCCCCTACGATACTTCTTGGGCATTGAGGTGGCTCGCTCCAAGACTGGCATTTTCATCTCTCAACGCAAGTATGTTCTTGACTTGCTTTCTGCTTCTGGTCAGCTTGGCGCTTGTCCTGCTGATACTCCAATTGAGCAGAATCATCGGTTGGCTAATTCTGAGGGGGAGTTGTTGTCAGATATTGGTCAGTATCAACGACTTGTGGGGAAGCTCATCTATTTATCCATGACTCGACCTGACATTGCTTATGCCGTGAGTGTCGTGAGTCAATTCATGCACTCTCCTCGTGCCCCACACCTTGATGCAGCTATTCGGATTCTTCGCTACTTAAAAGGGTGTCCAGGCCGTGGTATTTTGTTTGCTAATCATGGTCACTTACGTGTTGAGGCTTGGACAGGTGCTGATTATGCAGGATCAATTTTAGATAGGAGGTCTACTTCAGGTTATTGTACCACTATTGGTGGTAACTTGGTTACTTGGCGCAGTAAGAAGCAGGATGTTGTCTCTCGATCTAGTGCAGAGGCAGAGTATAGGGCTATGGCTCTTGGGGTAGGTGAGTTGCTTTGGCTGAAAACCTTGATGACAGACTTGTGCCTTCCAGTGTCGCTTTCATTCTCACTCTACTGCGACAACAAGTCTACTATTAGCATAGCAGCAAATCCCGTTCAGCATGACAGGACTAAGCATATAGAGGTGGACCATCACTTCATTCGAGAGAAGATCATCTCTGGTCAAATTTGCACTCTATTTGTCACAAGCTCTCAGCAGCTTGCAGACATTCTTACAAAGGGCGTCAGCAAGATTGTGTTTGAGAATGCATTGTCCAAGTTGGGCATTTCAGATATCCACGCACCAACTTGAGGGGGAGTGTTAGCATTTATGATACCACGATTTATGGCATAACTTACCATAATAGCCGAGATATGATAGGCCCAAATCATGGGATGTGATTTACCATATTATCTGTGAGATATGATAGCCACTAATCATGTATTTGACTTTATTTACGCATATGTCTAGGCATAGAATATGCAATGATTTGATTTTGTTTCCTTTCTTGTAATATGAGCATGTGCTCATTTTTCTATAAATACTAGAGCTGTGAATGGGCAATTCATCTCATTCAAGCCTTTAGACAATTCTCTCTTTTCTCTTCTTTTTATATTTCTACTGTTAGGGATGTCTCAAATTCTTTTTTTTTTGATAAGTAAGAATTTATTAAAAGTGCTCAAAAGGGGAGCGAAGCCCAAAGAAAACAAAAAGGGCCAAAAGGCGCCTTAGACCTTCAGAGAGGCCAAGAAAACAATGATTTCCTCCATGGATCTATAATCTCTCCCTGAAACCCAACAAAAAAGAGTAGAAATAACAGAGAACTTAAGCATAGAAATAGGCTTCTTTTTCCCGTCAAAATATCTCCTATTTCTCTCGAGCCAAATACACCACCAGATACAAAGCAGCGTAGCCCTCCAAGCATCCTTAACACCAACCCCAACAGAGACGCCTCTCCAAGCTTCAATCAACCCTCTAGAGGAATAGGGCATGTCTTAAATTCTTATTGGGTTGGGTTTTGAATTATAATGGTTTGAGAGTGTTTTGTTAAGACTTGGGCACAAAGTAATTGTACTTGAGCCCCAAGTAAACTGTATTCCTTACCCAACAAGGATTTGTATTACTTGTTCACCAAACTAAGGCTATAAAACTCCCTATAAATAAAGAGGGAGTTGCATGGAGAAGGTAGAGAAGAAAAGAGAATGAAGGAGTGAGTGACAAGAGGAGAGTGGGTGTGTGCAAAAAGGCACCAAGGGTAGAGAGATGCAGCTTCATAGAAATTGGTGAGTGTGTGGGGGTAGAGATGATGAGAGAGTGGGTAGAACACGGATGGTGAGGAGTGGTAGACCGTTAAAGGCTTGAGTATCCAACACCATACCTTGTGTAGAGAATGTGTGTACATGATTAGGTGTTCAAAGTCTCTACTGGTGTAATTTTTCACGAGGCGGTAAGGGAGTGGGCATACTTTACAGTTGTATATTCTCTTCTTGATTCATTATAGTGAAATTTTCTTCTCTCTGTGGACGTAGGCCGAGTTTGGCCGAACCACGTAAAATATTGTGTTTTTATGTGCGATTGTTTGTATCTTGCTTCTGCTGTGACAAATGAAGGTGTTTAATTCCCAACAAGTTATTTCCTTTTCCACAAGAACATGTAAAGCATATTTTACGTTTCGCTAGTTCACTCACATACTTTTGACTGGAAGTTGGCAAAGGATAGTTGTTGTTCCACATATATATATACATACATTTTTTGTTATAAGTAATATTTCATTAAAAGCACTCAAAAGGGGAGCATGCCTAAGGAAACTCATACAAGACACAATAAACTGCAATCACCAAAGAAACCCCTATACGCTCAAGCTATCCACAAAGACTACAAGATCCTCCAAAGATTTACAATCTCTCCCATTAACTCAACAAAAACGAGAACAAAGAATGGATAATTTTAACACCCAAATAGAAGATTCCTCCCTATCACATGCATATATACACACAACAAATTACCACTGCTATTCTATTACCTTATCTCTTTGCTTTGTACAACTTATCTAAAATACTAAACTAGCTTAAATATTTCATCACGTATTTAATTATATCTTTTATTGTACATTATCTATTACTTCTTTAAAAAAAGAATAATAATCTTAATTATACAATAAACCAGCTTTTACTGTTTATTACATTTCTAAAAAAAGTTGACCAAACACAACATATAACATGTTTCTAAACTTGGAAACCAACAAACATGCACAAGCATGGACAAAAATTAACACATTGTTACTGATAAATCATTTAGGAAAACCATAAACTCTAAAGTCAGTAAAGCTATACAAAACACGCTATAAGAACACCTGACCTTTTGCCCCATGTTCTTTTTGAAACCCGAACTTCCCCTTTGCATTTTGCCTATGATGAAACTGGGTCTTTGAAATTCTTCAGAAATTTGAATTCGGTGCAAATTACAATTTATTGGTCCAAACTTTTGCACAATATAAAAAGAGAATAATAAGAACCAAAATAGGTATACCTGCTGTGCGTTACATCTCTTTCCGGATTCCTTTTCCAATTCTGCTTTTGAGAATCATTCCGGTTCGAATTTAAATTAATAATACCACCATCTTTGCCCAAATTGCCCTGATAACGTTGATGATAGTCAAATTAACCAAGTACTCAAACACATCCAAATAAAGACGACACAATTATGACATTGGTTTTTGGCATAAATACTTGAAAAGAGATACAAAAATGAGCAAAAAAATTTTTTTTGACAGAATTCCCATAAATTAGGTACATATATAATATATTATTGTTTTTGATCAATTAGCAGATCTCAGCGATCTCTAAAAGAAAAAAGAAAAAAAGACATGTGAATTTGGAATAATCATAGGTCATGGATGTTTCTAACTCGGTTTGACTCTAGTTTGGCTTGTCCACCAAGCCTGCTTCTGTATCAAATCATAGTAAAAAAATATATACTATAAAATATATATAATAACAAAAGGAGGGGTTGACAAACTAGGAAATTTGACCTGATAAAGTAATTGTGCTTGAAGAGTCAACTACAAATTTTAACTCGTAAACAATAAACCAGTATTTACAAGAATGTTTGACTCCAATACTTCTAAAACGAAGAACATAGAAAATCATCTCTCTTTCGGGCCCAAGATAAGGCACTTGTCTTTTCTTCACTCTTTGGCCCACTTTCTTAGTGGATGCCAAAGAATCTTATACTACATGGACTTGGATATATGTATCGAGTGCTAGTGTGTATCTAAATCTCAAACCTCCCAGATTCCAAAACTTAGAATACATGACCTCAATTGAAATATGTCCAAAACTTGGATATGGGTACGTGGACACATTTTGCACATTTCATACAAAATATGTTATATAGTAGTGTAATACTTTATGCTATTATTGTTTAAAAATATACTCAATTATAGTTTAAATTAAATGGAATATGACGAAAAAGTGCGACATATTATACTATTATTCTTTCGAAGAACCGTCCAACTTTTAAGAAATTCGCCTCAGATTGCCAGTTCAATCAGCTACCCAACTATCACATAATTGGTTGTGTCCCTCAGAACAGGTTCCCTACTCAATATAAGAGGACAAACTTATAAGGAAAACTTCAGAAGGGTTGACTCCTCTACCTGCGGCATGATAAATCTTCTCTCTTTACCTCTCTCTCTCTCTCTCTCTCTGTGTATATGTATATCAAGTATATATCTGTCTTCCATAGCTTCTACCAAAGCACTACTATAAAAGAACAGACTTAGGGCCTTAATCTAATTTGGGAACACTTTGAAAGGGATGTCTCCTCTGCCTACCAGATGACCACCCTCAAATCCTCTCTTTCTCTACACACACACACACACACACGCATATCCTCTCAAATCCCCTCTTATATAGCTTCTTTCATTCTGATGGGTTCAAAATTTCATAATACATGCCTGTGAGATAAAAGCAAAATGTTCATGCGGGCACCAAGGGATGCCATATAACCACAAACTGCATAAAAGAAAGCACTACACACTATTCAAAAACTCAACAAAGTCCTCTACAAATGTACATAAGCACCCTTTCACCCAAAAAAATAAGGAATTAAAAACAGAATACTTTAGCACCCAAATTGGTGCTTCCACACCCTCAAAGGATCACCAGTTCTCGTCCTCCATAAACCCCACCAAAAACAGAATGGACTTACCCTCCAAAATTCTCGAGCTTGTCTTCCCACTATACATCCCCTCCAAGACTCAAGGGCTTCCGTAGAATTAGTCAGTAACACTAATGCATACCGAAAATAATCAAGAACATAGACCAAACGTCACTCGTTATTGGCCAATGCAATAAGAAATTTTTTGCTGTCTCCTCATCTCTCTTGCACATACAGCACCAAATAACCAATATGCCGCCTCGTCTTCAAATTGTCCATGTTCAGAATCCTTTTCAATGCTGCTGTCCACCCCTCCACACCGCTTCCCATGGAAATACAGCCTCAGGATCTCCCTGAAGTATTTAACCACAAATCCTACATTCCTAGCTCCCATCCAGCACCACATCATTACCCTCCATATCCATAGGCTGCTGATAAATCAAACCAAAGAACGCTACTTATCAAAAAAAATCAAACCAAAGAATGCTATAATCTCTTCCAGTTCCCAGTCCCAAATCCATCTGGCAAACTGAACGTCCCATCTCACCGCACTGTTATCAAGTTTATAACAATCCGCCACCGTATGCTATGTTTGTCTACAGCAAGCCTGAATAGTCTAGCGAAAAAATGAGCATGAGGTCAACCATCACACCAGGCATCCAACCAAAATATAATGAATCTCCCACTATGTACCTTGAACCAAATGTGTTTAGAGAATTAATCCCAGCGTTTAATGATTTTTCAGAGACCCACTCTGGCCGAGCCATGAACCTCCTTAGGACACCAACCACCCTGCTCCTCTCCAACTTTATACTCAATAATCCTCCTCCACAGTTTATCTTTCTCCAAACCATAATTCCACAGCCACTTCTCCAACGAGGCTTGATTAAACAACTTGAGTCTCTGGACTCCCAAGCCTCCTATTCACTTAAGCTTACACACCTTGTGCCAAAATATGAAATTTTCTGCAACTTCTCGATTCTTTTCACCACAGAATCTGAAACAAAGATAGATAACATGTAGGGAGATTCGATAGAGTTCTCTTCATAAGGGTAAGCCGGCTACCCCTTGAAAGATATTGCTTCTTCCACCCGAGAAGCCTTGTCTCAAATTTCTCAACCACTTAATCAGTACACACCTCAAGAATCTCAACAGATACACAGGCGCGTTACAGAATATAATAGTACTGGCTGCAAATATAAAATGAGTCACTTCAAATAGAGTCCTACAACTCTCCCCCACCTCAAACCCCTGGATGTGACCAAGAGTTGCAGCCCTCCTCATCATTCTACTAAATGCCTCCATCAACATGATAATCAACTAGGGAAACAACGGATCTCCAAGTCAGCCCTCGAGCGCTACTGAAGAACCCTGTCGGAGATCCATTCACCAAGACTGAATACTTCACCATTGAAATACAGAAATAGGTCCATCATCTCCAGTCTCCACCTCTCTCCAAAGCCCATCCTCACGATAATGTAGATCAAGAAGTCCCAGTTAACATTGGTCATAAGCCCTCTCAATATCCAACTTGACACTATTCCCGGGACTCTGCTGCGCAATCTGGAATCAATGCATTTACTGGCAATCAACACTGCATGTAATATCTTACGCACACAAAAGGCATTTTGTAATTCTGAGATCATGCCATCAATGACCCTCCTAAGCCTCAAGGCAAGAACTTTGGCAATGATCTTGTAGACACCACCCACAAACTGATAGACCTAAAGTCCTTGGCTCCATCTTGGTTTTTCGTGATCAGGACTATGAAAGAAGCATTCATACTTTTCTCAAACTGGCAATGCTGAAGGAAATAGCATAACGTCTCCATCACCTCCTTTCTAACCGCCTCCCAATTTTGTTGGAAAAAGGTTGTAGTAAATTTGTCTAATCCTGGCACTTTATCACCATTGCAGCTCCGAAACACCATTTCCAATTCTCCAACTATAAACGGTCTTTCCATCCACTCCCTATCCTCGCCCAGAATGACAGCGAACTCCAGGCAATCCAGCTGAGGTCTTAAGGGACATATCTCTATATAAAGTTGCTAGCGGAAAGAAACCAAGCTCCTCTGAATATCCTTTTCCTTTGTCAAGTCTTCGCCATCAATACGAATCCTCCCAATACGGTTGGTTGCCCCTTCTATGCATATATGCTAATCAGTGGAAGAATTGTGTATTTCGATCCCCATCCTTAAGCCACAAGGTTCAAGATTCCCAAACAAGTCACCCTAAACGACTACACGTCTAGCTTAAAAGTTGCATCCCCTCATCTTCTATTTCCATCCAACAAAAACAAATAGCTTCTGTATAGGATGGCAATCAAAACTACAACAGCAAATTGAGCAAGAATGAAACTATTAAACTGCTGCCTACCTTCCAAGCCTTAGGTGCCTAATCTTTGATTTGTACAAGATTCCCCATTTCATGATCAAATTTCCCCACCAAGCAGCATTACAAAGCATCTCTTCCTTGCCAAATATGATGCTCATCCACCGCGAAATCAAACCCCTTTTTGAGTTTCTCACCTCACTACTACACTTCGAGAAATGCTAGAGACTTTTACAACCTCAGCATATGAGCGATGATCGAAACCTAGCTGTCTCTCTCCCAAGAATTACCCTAAACCAATTCAAGCCTAAATTTATCCCTAACCCCTAATATTACCTTCTCAATCATTTTTTTTTTTATAAGTAAAAATATATTAGAAAGACGTTCAAAAGGGGAACGCGTCCCTAATACACAAAAACAAAAGAGCAAAAGCCAAACCTATGGACTAACAGAGTCCAATAGAACAAAAAAGTCATCGATCAAGGAGCAAGTGCTGCCTCTGACATAGCAGAAAAGAGAGCGTAGGATAAAAGACTTAAGGTTTGCAAAAGACGATTCCTTCCCTTCAAAATTTCTGCTATTTCTCTCTCTCCAAATACACCACCAAACACAATGTGGGGCGACCCTCCAAAAATCACGAGCATGACCAGAAATAGGGCATCTTCTCCAAGCATTAATGAATTGGAAAGAGTGCTTAAGCATTACCCACTGAACGCCAAAAATACTAAATATGAGATTCCAGCAATCAGATGCAACAGGACAATGCATAAGAAGATGGTCCACGGACTCATCATCAGTTTTACAAAGACAGCACCAATTAACAATGGTATTACCTCTCTTACACAGATTATCCAATGTTAAAATTTTTCCCCAAGTAACAGTCCAAACAAAGAAGGCAACTCTAAGAGGAGCTTTAGAGCGCCAAATACACTTCCAAGGGAAATCATATCCAATAAAATTAGACAAACACAAGAACATGGATCGAACTTCAAATCTACCATGAAGAGAGGGAGTCCACAAAATATCATCACAACCTCTGCCAACATCTTTCTGTCTATACAACAGGTCCAAGAAGACGCAAACTTCAGCTATCTCCTAATCCTGAAAGGAACGCCTAAAACGCACATCCCACGTAACTCCACTGTTATCAAGATGATAACAATCAATTACATAAGCATGCTTATTCTCGGCAATGCTAAAGAGACGAGGAAAAGAAAGAGACAACAACTGATCACCACACCATAAGTCTTCCCAAAATCTAACATACATACCATTTATAACCTTGAACCGAATATGGGTGGAAAACACATCCCAACCTTTCCGAATGAACTTCCAAACGCCAACGCCCCCGGTAATAGAAACAGGACGAGAGGACCAACCTCCACTCTCTTCCCCAAAACGACACAAGATAACTTTTCTCCATTGTCGACGACGTTCTTTACCGAATCTCCATAACCACTTCCCCAATAAAGCTCTATTGAAAGGGACTAACTTCCGGATACCTAAACTGCCAAACTTCAATGGTTTACAAACCTGCTCTCAACTAACAAGATGATACTTAAACTCCTCTCCTTTTCCACCCCAAAGAAAATCTCTCTGAATTTTTTCAATTCTTACAAAAAATTCCTATGCTTCTAGAATTATTTATACACTCTTTTCTCCACAAAAGTATCTTGGAATTGAAAAACTTTTGTACTTCAAGTAAAAAAAAATTCATCAACATGGTGAGTTTGCATGACAAGTCTTTTTTTTATAAGAGTTGTCATAACATGCTTGTTCATCCCTCTATTTGATAGAATAAAGATTTTGTATTCAGTAATAGTCATCTATAATTGGCTTCAGCAGTTTCCAATATTGCTAATTTATTACATCGCTTTTAATTTAATTTTGTGTTTTGATTAGTTTGTTCAATGAATAATATATGGATATTTTGTTGAACTTTTGGTTACAAAGTTCTGGTAATTAATTGGTTTGGTAATTTTGTGGTAGGAACATGATAAAAATATAATCTAAAATATTATTGGAATTTTTCCAAATTTTGAATTTATTAAATTAATATAGGTACTGATAATATATAAATTATGCAACATTACAGTTTGTGTAAAGTTGACCCAACCGTTTAAACTTGACTCTTGTCCTCGTCTTTTTTCCGGCTGATGGGTATTTCAGGTTTAAGAACATTGATATCAAGGAACTAAGTCGCATCTTTTAAGCAGTTAATATATGGTTTCATATGAAGATGGTGGGCATGCCCACTACTTTAGTGAGTTGATAAATCAGTTCAAATGCTTTCGGCTAGTATTGAGAATAACCACCAAGCATTAGCTAGAGCATTATCTGTTCCACCTTCACTAAAAGAAGGTTTAGAATTCAAGTCCCAGTTGGGACAAAGTGTGTGGATGTGTCTTACTTACCTTAATTAAAATAAACAAAAGATAGTGAGACAAGAAGAAGGCAACACCAAGTACCTGTGAATTCATGAAAACATTAGGACGGAAGTTCTGCTGGACTTGTTGCGATTGAGCAGACCCAAAAGCAATTGGCAAAGATGAGTTCCCTCTTAATTGCTGAGTAGTAGTAGGTGTATGTTTCAATCCATTAACATCCATTGTTGGTAAAACAAAATTATGCTGATTTTGGTCACCGGCCTGCATAGCTCCATTCGTATGCACCATACCGAACTGGGGATTAGCCATAAAGTTAGGATTTTGAGGACCCATAGCATGAGAAACATTGTTTGGGGGCAGAGGATTACAAGGAACAACTTGAGCATAGTGTGACATCTGCGGTTGGACAAACTGGTAAACATTTTGCATTGGATTCTGCATGTAAATTTGACCACTTTGCAGACTGGCATTTTGGTTAAAATATTGAGGCATGTTCATAGGATTAATACCAAATATTTGGCCAGGTGGTTGAGAGGGATTAATTCCATTCATACTCTGTACAGAATTCATACCCTGTACTGATGTAGTGATGCAATTCAACTTTTGATGACTGAAACCACCCGAGCACTGAGCCGGGTGACCCGGGTGAGAAATAACGCCACCGGGAGAACCCAAAAGGGACAAACCATTTTGCAGAGGAAAAGGATGATTGGGGGCATTGATAAAAGAAGATGAAGGTGCCAAATTCGACCTATTGGGCATTGGTATAGTGCCATTGCTCAAATGGGTATTAGAATTATTGAAAAGAATTGCAGTTTGAGGATTGATTGTACCCGTTTGAGACTGAATTTGCATGGGATTGGGCCAACTTGGATTCGGCATAACCTGCTAATTTTAACATATCAAATAAGATGATAATTAGAGAAATGCGAAATAACTTTAGAAAGAACAATACATATAGAGAGAGAGAATGGAAAGAAAACGCCGGAGAGAGAGAGTGTGTGTGTTACCTGTTGGGCGACTGAAGCACTGGTTCTATCAATTTGGACTTGGTTGGTATTGTAAGGGAGCGAACTGAAGGCAGGAAGCATACTTTGATACGTAGTAATATATAATCTAAAGGAATAGAACCAAAGACTTCAATGTGTGTGTGACTATGGATGTTGAGAGGAACATTGTTAGCAAGTCTGAGTAGTTTTTTTTTTTTTTAACGAGTGAGTAAGGTTTTAAGGGAGTTGTCTGTTAACGTAAAGAAAGGAAGGTAGGGTTGTAGAATTGGCAAGTACTTCACCTTCTTTTGTTTAACGCGGATTATTATTATTTATTGGGTTGTGCAAAAAAAACACCCTCCTTTACACAAAATGTGCAATTACCTCCGGTGCTCAAAAATTTCCTTCTATTTTTCAATGTGTGCAAATAAGGACAAAACAACAATTTGGGAGTAATTGAACATTAAAATGACTAAAATACCTTTATAGTATAATATTTATATATATAATAGCTTTATCCCTTATTTTATAATAACTTTTTAATCCTGAAATTACCAAAAGACCCATTTTTCTCCCTTCCTACACGCGCACGCCATTTCTCTCCACCCACCATAGCCACCTCCTCTCTCTCCATCCGTCGGTCCCCACCAAAAGACCCATTTATCAGGTTAGATTAGGGTTCGTAAGCTTCAAATCAAAAATGGGAAATTGGAATTAGGTCGTTGTTGAGATGGATCTTGGTGCTCTACTCAACGATGTTGCCTTTAAATTCATTGTAATAGCTTTAACTAACAAAAAAATGAGAAATTGGATGAGTTAGGTTACATGTGTATAGTTTTATACATATATATATATATATATATATATATATATATATATATACACTTGAATATTGGGTTAAATTTTATGTTGGGTTAATCATTTATATATGTGATTATGCAGGATTCCGCGACAACCCGAAACGATGTTGTACCTGAAAAAGGAAGAGAAAGGTAATCGAGGGGTATCGGTGTGGTACCGGCTTAAAAGCTAACATATGGTAAGTGTCATCTTCAGGCATGTGAGAGACTTCCACTTGGTAACATGGCGACGCCGCTGGAAGCTAATATGTTGCGATGCCACTGGAAGCTGGTTTGTGGTGGCACGCTGGAAGCTGACATGTGGCGATGTCGGAAGCTGACACATGGCAACGTCAGAAGCTGACACTTGGCATGTGAGAGACTTCCACTTGGCAACATGGCGACGCCGCTGGAAGCTGATATGTTGCGACGCCGCTAGAAGCAGATTTGTGGATATGTGGCGACGCTGGAAGCTGACACATGGCAATGCTGGAAGCTGACATTTGGCATGTGAGAGACTTCCACTTGGCAACATGGCACGCCATTGGAAGCTTATATATGGTGACACTGGAAGCTGACACATGGCAACGCTCGAAGTTGACACTTGGCATGTAAGAGACTTTCACTCGGCAACATAGTGACACCGCTGGAAGCTGATTTGTGGCAGCGACACTGGAAACTAACATGTGGCAATGCTGGAAGCTGACACATGGCAACGCCGGAAGTTGACACTTCGCATGTAAGAGACTTCCACTTGGTAGCATGGTGACGCTGCTGGAAATTGATTTGTGGCGATACGCTGGAAGTTGATTTATGGCGACACGCTGGAAGCTGATATGTGGCGACGCTGGAGGCTAACACATGGCAATGCACTTGGCATATGAGAGACTTCCACTTGGCAACATGGCGACGCCACTGGAAGTTGATTTGTGGCGGTGATGCTGGAAGCTGACATGTGGCGATGCTGGAAATTGACTCATGGCAACGCCGGAAGCTGGCACTTGGCATGTGTGAGACTTCCACTTGGCAACATGGCGACGCCACTGGAAGCTGATATGTTGCGACGTCGCTGGAAGCTGATTTGTGGCGACACACTGGAAGTTGACATATGGCAACGCCGGAAGCTGACACTTAGTATGTGAGAGACTTCCATTTGGTAACATGACGACGCCGCTGGAAGCTGATATGTTGCGACGCCACTAAAAGTTGATATGTGGCGATGCCACTGGAAACTAATTTGTGGTAGTGACGCTAGAAGCTGACATTTGGCATGTGAGAGACTTTCACTTGGCAATATGGCACGCCGCTGGAAAGCTAATATGTGGCGACGCTGGAAGCTGACACATGGCAATGCTGGAAGCTGACACTTGGCATATGAGAACATGGCACGCCGCTGGAAGTTGATATGTTGCGACGTCACTAGAAGCTGATATGTGGCAACGCCAGAAGCTGACATATGGCATGTGGGAGACTGCCATTGGTGAGTTGAAAGGTAGAAGTTGTCGTCCTTGTTTTTTTCAAGCTGTCACACTCAACCCGCCTTATATAGTTGGGGTATCCTATTATCAATCTTTTATACTGTAGGGATACCTATTTGGCCTTTTTAATACGAGTTATCTATGGAAATCCCTTTTAATACGGGGATGAGAATTACGGGATTCATTCAGCCAGGGCTCTTATAATACAGGATATTTTAATGTTAATACCTTATAATACGGAGATGAGAATTGCAGGATTCATTAAGGTCGGACCCTTATAATACGGGACACTTTAATGTTAATCCTTTATAATACAGGGATGAGAATTGCGGGATTCATTCAGCTCGGACCCTTATAATATGGGGCACTTTAATGTTAATCCCTTATAATACGGGGATGAGAATTACGAGGTTTATTCGGTCCTAACCCTTATAGTATGAAGCACTTTAAAACAATAAAACAAATTTAAATTAAAGATAGACCTTATCAAAAGTCGGTGCAACTAAAATGAACATGATTAAGAATCAAACTATCATCCAGCTGTAAAGCCAATTAAATATGAAAAATAGAGCTAAAAATCGATACAAAACTGGCACTATGCGACACAAAATTAAAGCTAATGCTAATGTTGAATTACAACTTTACTAGTAGTACTTTCTAAGGTATTCCACATTCTAAGGGTGATCCAGTAGAGTTTCTAACCAGTAGGTTCCCAATTAGGAGAAAGCTCCCCTTGTTGGGTTTTCCCAAAATCACTCTTATTTCACCCAACGATCGGCCATTAGGGTGATCATCTATGTCGTCCTAGGCAGGTTAAGTCACGCTCTTCTCACGATCAGTCGTGTATCCATGCAACTGTCCTTGATGAATTAGGCTTTTTACCTGGTTCCTCAGGTCAAAGCTGTAATGACCCGATCATTTCCTTCCTTTCTTTTTTTTTTTCCTCAGAATTTCACGGATGAATTTTTTTTCGTTGAAATTTCTTTTTTGAGTTCAGTTTCTCGTCACTTAGTGTCGTCTCGAGTGCTCAGAAATGGTTTCTGAGACTCTTTTCTTTGGATTGACAATTTTTTTTAAGGGCCGAGTCATTTCCACATTTTTTATTTTTTGACACTATTCACTTTTCGTCTTTTTCCCGTTTATCACTTTGTTGGCACAACCTCACTTTTCGTGTTCGAATTTGATTCCGGTTTTTGCATGCATCCACGATATTTAAATTCCATGCCATGCGTATTTTTACTTTCTTAGAAAGACATACTAAGTGTTTACTTTTCTTGTAAAGGGTATGGATGCATAACTTTTATGTAATATTCTTAATTTGTGGGGTTTTAGTGTAATTACATAAAGTAATTATTTTTCGTCTTAGGGACCATTTTGTAATTTAATTTAGAAAATATTTTGGAAAATGACCTTTTTGCAATTTTTGAAAAATATGACAAGTGTCACATTCTCATGGTGCTACTTGTTGACATTGGGGTGGAGTGACTTGGATGCATCATCTTGTGACATTTGGAGGGTGGAGATTCACCCACTTGTTGGCCTAGGATTGGTGCACTTGTTGGCTTAAATGGTTGACAAGTGTAGGCTTGAGATTAAGCCTAGGAAGGAACCTTGGATTTGTAACAAGTGTAGGTTCACAAATAAGTCTTGCAATTATTTTTGGGCCACTTTGGAATTATGGTTTTAAAGGAGGGTTTCTTGTATAATTGACCAAACTTGTGTGTGTTGACCATGGTGTAAGATCACATAGTGAGTGGAGGATTTCTATTTCCTCTACTCACACTTTATTTCATTGTTTCATTATCTTCCTCACAAAAAACCCTAGCCTCCATGGAAGAAGCTTGAAGCCTTAAGCTTTGACTTTGATTTTTGAGAGCCTTCCATTGATTTCCAAGCTTAACCTTGGGAATACTTTTTGTTCCCCTCGTCCTCCTTTACATAACCCTTGAAATGTTGGCCATTTTGTGTTGATTTGCCTTGGATTCAAGAGGAACAATCCTCTTGTGAGGTAAGGGGTGTTATAGTTTATTTTCTAAGTCATTTTGATTGCTTTTGTAATGGAATACAAGTGATATGCATGTTTTAATATTAATTTGAGAAATTAATGATTGTTGTAACTTGCATATAATTCACTTTTGACTTGGTATGTGGCATGGCCTTCACTTGATCCTTGTTATATAATTAATTGGAGTCATTTGAATGAGTTTTCAAATCTAGAGATTTAAATGAATTTAATTTGATTTAAATTCTATTTAATTATACCTTACTTGTTTTCCATTTTTGACTTGATATATGGCATGACCATGACTTAGTTCTTGTTATATATTTATTTGGGATCATTTGAACATCTTTTGAAAAATTAGAGATTTAATTAATTTAAATTAATTGAGATCTACATGATGATGTCTTGCTCATTTTGCTCTCTTGACTTGATATATGTAATGAGCATGCTATGTTGTTTAACATATATTAATTTGAGGTTATTTAGAATTGATTTGAAATCTAGAGACTTTTCATGTTGGGTTGAAAATCCCTTGAAATGTAGTGAAATCAATTACCTTGTGAGCATATTACTAATTGGATGTAGAATTAGTTCTTGTGGCCTCTTAAAATGGTAATTGGACTTAACTTGATATAGAATACCATTGACTTGCAAAGCTTGTTTAAATATATCTTGTGTAGGTATATAGCTTGTTTAGAATATTACAATTGTTTACCTTGAGAGCTTGTTACTAAATTAAAGCTTATTTAGTACTTGTGGCTTAGGATGGTAATGTGGCTCAATTGTTATAAAATATTCTTGATTTATGTATAAATTGCATATTGAGGACATGACATGTCATATGCTATTTAGACTTGAATTCTAGGACATGGTTTGTGTGGAATCAACCTTACTTGTGCATGGGATGTGGTAACTTGCATTTGATTTTATATAAGTTTTGAACTTATTGATTTTGGAAAGCTTGTAAGGACATATTTCACGTGATGGCTAGGGTTTGGCTCTAGTACGGATACGAGAGTCT